CAGCAGGAAAGTGACAGGCTGCGATGCGTGGTGCGAAGGAAGCGGACAGGCAGGCGATGTGGTGCAGAGTAGCCGAGCCTGGGCTGGGAGCTGCTTCAGATGGGGTCAGGGGTCACGGAAACCTGGGGGAGGAGCTGGCATCTGAGCCACGATGAGGAGGTGCTGCTGTAGGAAGACCTGGAGAACGGGCACCCAGGCAAAAAGACCCGGAAGGAGAAACGTCCTGATGCAGGAAAGATCTTGGCTTAGAGCAGCGATTTACAACCTTTTTCATCTCAGGGCACACCTACACTCATCACTAAAATTCCGTGGCACACCAAAAATATGTTATATTTTTGCCGATCTGACAAAGAAAAACACACACCAGGTATAATTTTGATTCATTCACACCTGATGGTTATTGTTGCGTTGGCTGTAGTCATTTAAAAAATATATATATGTTTTATTGATTTTTAGAGAGAAAGGATCAACCATTGAGCCACACCGGCTGGGCTGTAGTCATTTTTAATCTAAGGGAAAAGTGGTCAGGGCCTGGGCCTATGCACCGGCTGGGCTATAGTCATTTTTTTATTTGATAATCTAAAGGAAAAGTGGTCAGGGCCTGGGCCTAAACAGTTAGGTATTGCATGTTTTAAAAATTCTTCTGGCCCCCAGAGTGCCACTGCACAGTGGTTAGAAATCGCTGGCTTAGAGGAGCCACAGGGAAGCAGCAGGTGGGAACAGAATGGTGCTGGGGAGGCCGGCCCCGGAGGAGGTTATGCTTAGGCACAGGCTCTGCTCTCAGGTACAGGTGAACAAGGTTATGGGATCCCAGCAGCTGGAGGGGTCTTAGTGGGTAAAACCTAAATACCCGCCATCCCCTGTGAAAGCTCAATGTCGACACATGGCCAACAAAAGCCCCTGGAAGCGGGCAGTTCCCCAGGATGTCCTTGAACGGCATCAGGTTTCAGATTCCACAACGTTCAGGTGTGAGACCTCCTGGGACATCTCGAGCCAGTGGGGACCGATGCAGCAGGTCTATTATCTGCTAATGACAGGAACAGTCCTTGCAGAGGGTCTGACTCACCGCAGATGGTGAGCCTTAAACGTGCACCTGCCGGGGGCCCGGGGAGAATAACAGACCGTGAGAGGCAGCTTGGATGGCTTTTAGGAGCTAACAGACGTGGCTTTATGTTCTTGCTCTGCTACCACGTGACTTAGGCAATGACTTGAACTCTCCAGCCTCAGTTTCCTCATCTATAAAATGGGAATGATGGGAGGGAGGTGTTAGGAACTAAGTAAGGTGGTACCTGCAGGGACGTCACAGTGAGTTAAGAATTATATCTCAGTAGAGACTGGCGCCTTCCTGTGTCCGGTGGGGAAGGAGGAAGAGGATGACACAGATTTGTGACCCACGTATTGCCTAAGTAATGGCTCATATTCCTTTCTCCTTTGCTTCCCTTTCAGCTAACTTGAAAGAACATTCCTCACTTTCTGCTAAGCCTTGGACACAGTGGTATAAGAATGCTTTGATCCTCAGAGGTCATGCCCAGCTCAGCAGAGCACAGCCCCAGAGATATTGAGAGACAGGACACCCGGCTCTCACCCCCAGTGGCCTCCCTGGCTGGGTGACGGTGGGAGCCGCTGACCAGCGCCGGGTCCTGTTCTGTCATCATGGAATGCAGCTCCACAGATGCTACCGGGGAAGCAGGCACTGCCTTGTGAGCACGTGCGAAGCTCCTTCTAAGTCAGAGTTCCGTGTCGTGTAATTTACAGCCTTAGCCCAGGCCTGACTCTGGTGGGCACGCACCCAGCCCTCTAGAGTCTCAGAATATAGCCCCGTTCTCCAAGTACATTCACTCATCATAAAATGAAGATGAACTTACCTATTCATGCGTGATTCATAGCTTACCCACCGGATGGTCTTAAATCGGACCAGGGCTGAAGCCCCTGGCTCCGGGGGGTGAGGGGGAGGGTGGGTGTTGCTGGGGAGTCAGCTCAACCCTGCTTTCCGGCCACATGTGGGCTGTTTTAGTTAAGATCCCTCTGAATTGGATCCTGGGAGGAGGATTTGGTGAAAGTGACATATTATGGAAGTTTCTGGGCAAAACAGGCAGCAGGTAGAGAAGTGGGACAGGAGGGAAGAAGGTCAGACAAGGTGAGGTGTCAAGGTGCTGCAGGGGGTAACTCTGGTGCCAACCCCGGGGGTCCTAGAGGCAGCCTGAGTCCCACCAGGCCAGCTCCGGGACAGGAACCCGTGTGGTCACTCAGAGGCCCTGAGTTTGGTATAATGAATTCTTAGCGATTGTTGAGCCAGAGGCCTATATGTTCATTCTCCAAGCGAGCCGTGGAATCTGCCCCTCGGGGAAAGGGGTGCCGAGTATGTATCAGGCCCCCAGCACCTCCATGATGGGGCAGGGCTGGCAATTCCAGGGGCAGCCCCCCTCCTGTGCACACAGGGGCCCACAGGGGCATGGGCAGAGCCCGGAGGGCATCTGTTACACAATTCAAATCTCGATGGTGTCTGCACAAAAAAATGGACACATATGCTCATAGGTTTGTGGGGGAACTGATTCAATTCAGCCCCAAACCTGCTTTAAAAACAGATTGTGGAGATTGGTATTAATGAATTGTTTGGCAGGCTTCAACTTTTTAATTCCAAATGTGGGGGCAACACCTAAGTACCCATATTTTAAAAATAAGCCACTGTCCTGTCCCCTGTCCCCCTGCACGCCCCCACCCATGCACACAATACACATTCTCTTAGAAAATAGTCCAAGTCCCGCTTAAAGTGGAGATTGATGGCCTTGGTGTGTGTCATTTCTTAGCATCAGTGCAGTTAAAGAATTCTTACTGTTTTTGTGTGTAGAACACGAGTGAGAAACAGCCGAGTGACTCGTGTAAACGGTGCATGAAGTGGGCGTCCGTCACACGGCCTGGGGAGGCCTGGACCTTCACGTTGATGGAAAAGATGGACAACTTTGCCCAAGAATTGCAGTCAGGAGACATTTCAGAGAACGAGGTTATGTCTGTTCACTCCGGGCACAAGCCTCAGAGTGGAACGTATTCACACGCTTCCTGGGGGCAGGCCAGGGGCCACCGCTCCGGTGACCCATGAAATGCCCGGTCTCCCACATGTCCTGAAGGGGGATTTCACTGGTCTGGAAGGGACCTGGGGCTGGGCTGGGGTGGCTGTAGCTCCTGGCAGAGAGAGGGGTCTACAGGAGCAGGGCTCACCAGGGCTGAGGACCGTGGGTCTAAGGGACTGTCCGCTCAGGGCTGGCCACACACGGTGGAAGCAAACAATTGCAGCCAGCAGAGACCTGAGCGTCAGAAATCTGAAAGGACTCGCCCAAAGTCACACAGCCAGTAGGGGCCGGGGCCTGGAATCCGGGCCTGTCCTACCCACAGCTCAGACTCCAGAGGCCCAGCTGCTCTGCTAGTTCTGGCCTATCGAGTGCATCCCTCCAGCCCCCGAGGCCCAGAGAGGGGCTGCTCGTCTGTGGCCCCACACAGGGCGCTGGGGACAGGGCTGAGCTCATCCCCACTTAGGGGCTGCCCATCAGATGGGGCGGAGCGAGCACAGACGGGTCAGTCTGGATTCCAATCCTGAGCCAGCTGCTTACCTTCTCTGATCCTCGGTTTCCTCCTCTGGGAATGGGTGTGATAAGAGTGGCTGCCTTTCAGAGTTGCTGGGGAGGATTGTGTGAGATGATGGATGGATGGTAAGTGCTCGATGGGCATGGTGATCATTCCTTATTATTATTATCTTGGCGTAAATTACAGGAAGAAAAAACACTTTTCTGGGGAGCCATTGATTGTCAAAGTCAGATGATGTGACATCCTCGGATCATCCACCTGTATTCTTTTCTTGTTAAAAACATTTTATTTGAAACAATGGAACATTGATGAGACAGGCAAGGAAGCGAACAGGGAGTCCTTCCCCCAAGGTGACACCTTGCGCAACCACAGGACAGCATCACACCCGGAAGCTGGCACCAGTACGGTCCCAGAGTGTGTTCGGTTTCCTCGGTCCCGCGGAGGGAGCTGAGGGGTGAAGCAATTCTCCAAGGCCACCAGCGTGGAGCTGGCAGAGCAGGCCCCTGGCACGCCAGGGCCCCATCTCCCATTGTCTCATGAACTGCAGGAGGCCGGTCCCACTGCTCCCCATCCCCAGCCTGGAGTTTTCTTTCTTACCACACAAGACCTCCCATATCGAAGAGACAAAAGAAGCCTCGGCCACCACCTCTGAGGCCGTCTGAGGACTGTGTCCCAGCCATAGTGGGCGGGGGCCCAGCCTCTGAGAGGGCGCAGTCCCCCCTAACAGGGCCCAGGAGCAGCGACACAAGGAAGACGGGGAAATAGTGGACAGGCCACCGGGCTGCTTTGGCCCTGCCTCGGAGACAAAGGGCTTCTCTGAGGCCACTGAAAAGTGACTGGCCCCCCAGGCACTTGGCTAAAGGCAGGGCCTGCCTGGGGCCTCCCCCACGGAAGCAGCTTTTCTATGGGAAGGAACAATGACACAGCCTCTCTGTTCCTTGGGTAAAGGGACAATTACAGTCTTTCCTGGGGCCATTTTCATCTGAGCTGCCAGAATGAACTAACTGTCTGATCCCAAGTCTTTTTCTAGAACATTCCTACACAGGTCAGCAAGGTAGTCTAAAGGGAAAGGGCGAAGATGAAAGTGCAGGATAAATCCTATCTTATAACCCCAGGGAAGGTCCCTTGCATCCACCGGGAAGGAGGTGAATAGGTCCTGGGTGGGAGGTGCCCATCCCCCAAACAGACTCCTCCCTGCAGGCATCTGTCTGCCTGAGGTTCCACCCTCCTGTGTCAGCTGGGCTGAGTGTTGAGGCTGCTGGACTGTGGACTCCTTTCCCCTGGAAGCACTGCTGTTGTCTAAGCCACTGGAGACAAAGATACCTGCTTTCCAGAGGAGACACACGGTGTGTGGGCCATCACCGGCACCCTGGGAAGTGCTAGGGTAAAGCCATTCATGGGCGCTGGGCACCTAGTCAGGGTGAGAAGTCAGGGAGGGCTTCTCAGGGGAGGCGCTGTCTGAGCTAAGTTTCTGAGCATGAGTTTCCCAGTGGCTGCCATACAAATAACCATAACCTGGGTGGTTTAAAACAACAGGAATGAACTTACTCTCCCACAGCTCTGGAGGCCAGAGGTCCAAAATCAAGGTGTCACCAGGGTTAGCTCCTTCCGAGGGCTCGGGGGGAGAATCTGTCCATGCCTCTGTCCCAGCTCCCAGGTGGCTACCAGCAACCCATGGCATTGCTTGGTTTGTAGATGCATCACTCTAATTTCCACCACCATCTTCCCACGGCTTTTCCCTCTGTGTCTGTGTTCCAAATTCCCCTCTCCTTGCTTTTATAAAGATACTTATAGTTGGTTTTAGGGCCCATCCTAAATCCAGGATGATCTCACCTCAAGATCCTTAACTGAGACACATCTGCAAAGACCCAACTTCCAAATAAGGTCATACTCACAGGTTCTGGGCTCTGAGATTTAGGATGTGGACATACCCTTTGGGAGACACAAATCAATCCACAACAGGGAGCCAGTTAGCTAAGTTAGATGGTGTGAGAGGAAGGGCACCCCAGGCAGAGGGCACAGTATGTGCAAAGGCACAGACCAGAGAAGTTCAAGGAACTACATTGAGCATGCTGGACAAAGGGGCCACTCTGGGAGTAGGGACATAAAGGGTAGAAAGTTAAGCAGGTGCCAGCCAACTCACATCTTGAGTTTGAATTTGACCCTAAAACTAATATGGGAACACTGAAGAGTTTGCCTGGTTGTTATCTGGTTCTCCCCACATCCCCGAGAAGTCAGTATTGTGGCCCAGATCAAGACTCTCAGGCTCAGAGAGGTAACTCTTTGCCCAAGAGCAGACCATTAGGACAATGGCAGAGGCAGGGTTTGAACCAAGGCCACTTCTAACTTCTTAGTGGACAGATGACTGCAGCAGGGTTTTGTGTGCCTGAGGAAGACAGGAAATGGTATATCTAGGAAGGAGGGAGGGGACATTCTTGGAATCCTGCTGAGACCATGTGCCAGCTCACTGCCCCATCTGAGTATGGCTCCCTAATGCTGGGCCTGGGAGTCCCAGTTGGTGCTCCGAGAACCACCTCCAAAGTTGATTGGTCCAGAAACAGACACCTGCCTCAGCTAGGCCAATCAGAATCCCCGCTCCCCCAGGAATGGACTGAGTCTTTTTGACTTGAGAAACTAATGTGATAGGGGACTAGGACACCCCTTCAAGTCCTGCTCTGACTCTTATTTCAAATGTGTGGTTTCAGGCAGTTTGTTGAAACCTCAGTGCTTCGGTTTCCTTCTCTGGAACTTGGAATGATGAAAACAGCTACCATAGCCACCGTGGGATGACATGAAATCCTGGGGGTGAAGCTTGTGCCTAAGCTGCAAGGGTGGGGAACGTTCGGCCCGAGGGCTGTATAAGGCCCGAAAAATCATTTGGTCTGGGGTGAGTTAATTAAATGTTTGACCAAATATAGCAGGCTAATTTTTAAATTGGTAATTTTGTGTGGCCCATGAATGATGTTATAAACATCCAAATGGCCCCTGGCAGGAAAACGGTCCCGTCCCCCCGCCCCCGTAAGACTTGGCACACAGGAAGTGCTGGGCAGACATTAGCAGGCTCTGCTGGTTGAATGAACAGAAGTGATGGACTCAAACTGTGTGGAGGCTACTTCCTGCTGTGTATATGAAGGAGGAGGAGGAGGAGGAGGGAAAGGAGGAGGAGGAGAGGAGGAGCAAGAGTGAGAGGAAGAGAGAAAGGGGGGCGCAGAGAGAGAGAGAGAGAGAGAGACCACTGGGGCTCTTGACAGCCTTCCAGGACTTGCTTCCAATTGATAAGAGACT